CAAACATTTCCCTTTTGGCCCATCACATTATGGCACCAATTAAAACATGTCTTCTTGGCAAACACAGGGGCTGAAACTACTGGTCCTGTATGCGCAGTCTGGAGTTTTCGGCATCAAAGCGCTTGCATGCATGTTTACTTCTTCCCACTCCTTTCAGCACCACTCCAAGATCTTTTGCTGCCTGAGGCAAAGGACAATGGTTAAAATTTCTTTGTGGATGGGTTACCGCATATTGCCCGTCTAGAGTTCAGGGCAGGGTCCAGTGATTATAAAATCACTGCAATCAAAAGCAAAAACAACGGGAAAAGCAATATTGGAAGTGAGCTGCCAAGAAGGAGTCAGAGTCTTGTGTTGTTTCCGGCAAGCAGAAGGCTCAAGAAAGAGACATTATACTCTCGCCTCCTAAATCACTGCTGCTGACAGCAAATAAGAATAGGGGTTGCTTGAAAATATGCCGCTTAATATTGAATATGCTCCCTTATGTTACAAGTAGCCCACTGACTCCAGGGTCCATAGATACATGTGCTGCTGTTGCTCTCCAGCCAGAACTTAAAGCTTCAGGCACTGGAGCTGTCAAGGCCTGGGAGTCCACCTCCTCTTCTGACATGTTGTGTCCTGAGGTTGTTCTTTGGGTATCAGTCCAGCAAACCCCTCAAGGGGATCCTCAGCATTGGACTCAGGGGGCCCTGCCTGCTCCTCATGGTCTTCTACCTGTGGGGTATCCAGTTTGTCCTTTGACACCTACATTTTCATTTCATTTCACTTGCTTTTCTGAAATTAACAAGTACCAGTCCTGGCACTGGCCAATTTTTCAGCTTTTCTGAGTCGCTATATCCCACATTGAGTCTGAAATCCCAGTGATTGCTGCACTAATGTTAATAGATCATTTGAGTAAATCTCATGTTTTTAAGCCAGCTAATGAACTTCCTGCAACTTCAACAATTATTTCTGCTTTTGGAGTGCTGCCCTACCAAATACTGCCAGAATCAAGAGGGCTTTTAGACTGCTGTGTGGCAGAATGATGATAATGTTAACCACCCACCCCAACAAAGCAATCAGTCAACCAGAAAGTGGGAAGTGGAACTGAGATTCAATTATTTTGCTGACGCAATGAAATACTGGCAACCAAATTTCATGTGTAACTGCTAAGGTGAAGTGGGAGGGTCTGTAACACATGATTTATTTGCAGACGATCCCCATGTTTCAGCATTTCCCACTAGTAGGATGAATAAACTGCAAGAAATGGCAGGACCAGTAGGGTCCCCACCTGAGTTTCTAGGGAGTCACTACCAGTTATATCAGGCAATTTTATCTCACCTTTCCTCCAAGTAGCTCAGGGTGGCATACATAGTTCTCCCCTTAAAATTTTAACCTGTGGGGCACATCAGGACAAGGGAAGGTGGCAAGCACCTGATGGACCACTGTGGATAACAGGATGCTGCTCTGAATAGGCACATGGTGTGATCTAGGAGGGCTGAGTGGGGGTTTCGTCCAGCACGTCCAGCTCTGCTGCAGAAGAGCAATATTAGCCTAGATGGGGCTTGGGAAGCTTCTTGACCTCTGACCATGCTGTCTGGGGCTTTGAAAAGCCACAGGTCCCCCTCCTACAAGCTCTGTATAAACCATCTTTGCCATCTTCTGCAAAAGTCAAATGCATTGCCTAGTGAAAGGTCAAAGTGGAACACACACACACATGCCAGTTCTGTATAACAGCTAAAAATATTTAGGGGTGGGAAGGAAATAAGGCAAGAAGCAGCCCAGGGAGAACTCAACATGCTCAGTGGGTGTGGAATACTGACTGATAGTCAACGTGGAAGAGGAACAGGACAGGGTATCCTGGAGCACATTCCACACTACAACATTTTGCTGCAGTTCCTTTTTGTATGTTTTATAAAAATACCTGATTAATATATGGCTATCCTACTTAGTTCTCTGATAAACAATGCATGCCTCCTATTCCAAACATGCTGAATATAGATTTTCCCATTACCCTCATATAACCACTGCAGAGGGCAAACACAAAAAATTAATATATGGATGTGCCATCTGGAAACACTGCAATCCTTTGTTTGCTTTTTGGTGGTGGGAATAGAGAGACTTGCTTTTAGCAACTTTTATGTCTGCCAAATGTTGCTGAAGCAGTTTTAAAGAAGTGCATACATCTGAGTCCATCACCAGGTGATGCAATTTTTTTTGGGGGGGGGGTTGCCCTTTCTGTTTTGTTACTCTTAAGCATCTCAAGTATAGCCAATGGCCTTTTTAAAACAAAAACATGCATTTTGTGCTTACTTTGTGACAGCATTATTATTATTTACTAAATTTGTATACTGCACTTCATCCATAGTTCTCAGGGCAGTTCACAACACAAAAATACAAGGATATAGGATGTTTTAGTCAGTCAAAGGCCTGGTTGAAGAGGAATGTTTTCACCTGGTGCCTAAAGGTATATAATGAAGGCACCAGGTGAGCATCCCTGGGGAGAGAATCCCACAAATGGGGAGCCACTGCAGAAAAGGCCTGTTCTCCTGTTGCCACTCTGGAGGTTACCAGAGCATAGACATAACATAGACAGAGCATAGGCTGTCCATGTCCAGATTGGGGGGGGGGGAGCTGGTCCAGCAGCCGAAGATGATGGAGGGCTCTCCGCATCACTGAAGCCAACTGAGCCTCAAACGACAGCAGAGAATCCAGAAGGACCCTCCCCCCCCCAAGCTACCAACTAGTAAGAATAGAGTAATAATAATAATAATAAATTTTTATTTATACCTCGCCCTCCCCAGCCAAGACCGGGCTCAGGGCGGCTAAAAACCAATAATAAATACAAGTTGATTAAAATACAATTTAAAAGATTAAGATACAACATTAAAACAATTAGGGAGCAATCTCATCATAGGAGGAGAAAGGAAAAAGAAAAAGGGGGAGGGAATCAAACTGATTCTAAGCCAAAGGCCAGATGGAAGAACTCTGTCTTATAGGCCCTGCAGAAAGAAGTCAGATCCCGCAGGGCCCTGGTCTCATGAGGAAGAGCGTTCCACCAGCCGGGACCAGTGTTGAAAAGGCCCTGGCTCTGGTTGAGGCTAATCTGACTTCCTTAGGGCCCAGGACCACTAGGGTGTTGCTATTTATGAACCTTAAGGTTCTCCGTGGGGCATACCGGGAGAGGAGGTCCTGTAGGTACGAGGGTCCTAGGCCGTGAAGGACTTTAAAGGTCAAAAGCAGCACCTTGAACCTGACCCTGTACTCCACCGGGAGCCAGTGCAGCTGGAAAAGCACTGGGTGAATACGCTCCCATGGCAGAGACCCCGTGAGGAGCCTTGCTGCAGCATTCTGCACCCGCTGGAGTTTCTGGGACAGCTTCAAGGGCAACCCTGTGTAGAGTGAATTACAGTAGTCAAGCCTGGAGGTGACTGTCGCATGGATCACTGTAGCCAGTTTGGGGCGGGAAAGGTAAGGGACCAACTGCTTGATGCGGCAAAGGTGGAAAAATGTCGCCTTGGCTGTTGCTGTAACCTGCGCCTCCATGGAAAGGGAGGCGTTAAGGATTACACCCAAACTCTTAACGGAAGGCAATGGCACTAATTGGGCCCCCGCAAGAGAAGGGAGTTGGTCCCTCATCCCTATGCCATCCCGACCCAGCCAGAGGGCCTCTGTCTTCGAAGGATTTAGTTTCAATCTGCTCCCATGAAACCATCCAGCCACAGCTTCCAAGCGTCTGGTCAGTGTGTTCGGGGCTGAGTCGATGTGGCCATCCATCACCAGATAGAGCTGAGTGTCATCAGCACATTGGTGACAACCCAGCCCAAAGCTCCGGATAATCTGGGCAAGGGGGCACATAAAGATGTTAAAAAGCATCGGGGAGAGGTTTGCGCCCTGCGGCAGTCCACACACCAAGGAGTGGCACGACGACAACTCCCTCCCTAGTGCCACCCTCTGTACCCGACCAGAGATAAAAGAGCACTGGCACCTGCTGCCATACGGGTACCTCTTTTTTCTTTTTTGACCAAGAAATAAAGCACTGCATATAGTTATTGAGGCTCCAATGCTAAATATGTTTTCTAAAGAATAAAGAAGCCTAGTATTGGACTGGAGCAGAATCACAGAACTATAGAGCTGGAAGGGATCATCCAGTCTGACCTGCTGCAGTGCAGCAATCCTGGCCACAGCTGTCCCTGAGTGAGCTTGAACCACCAGCCTCCTGGTTAACAGCAAGACACACTGACAGCTAAAATACATATAATGGTGCAGAAACAGAAGAAGAAAATAAACCAACCCCTTGCCTGCGTGAGGCATACCTGGAGCAGACCTGCCCCTTGCGCCCTTTCAGGCTTACTCATGAGCAAACTGGGAGGGTTTCTTATCAAAGCAAATAGGCGGAGGAGGGAAAGGACCGCCAGGGCTCTTGTGGGGAGGAAGAGGGAGCTTCGGGTTGGGCGACCCCAGGAGCCTTCTGTGGGGGGGGGGGGGCGATGAAGAAACGCTGTCCCGGGGGGTGCTGCGAAAAATAGGGGATCTTAACAAAAAAAACCACTACCCCACCCCAGCCCTGTTGATCTCGGCGAGGGTTACTTTGGAGTAGCCACATATAAAATGGTCAGCTGAACTCAAAGCAAGCAGGCAGTCAATAAGGGGCAGAGTGCAGAGGTCCTTCCCATTGTTATTAAGGGAGGGACAAGTCTCATATTATGTATAGATATAATAAATGAATAATAAATGAATAAATAAATCGAAAATAAGTACTCGTAAAAAAGGAGGGTGCTGAGATATACAGATACAGATATAGATATAGAAAGATAGACAGATAGATAATCTCAGTACCGTTAAGTGCATGTGTGTATGTCAGTACCCTCCTTTGCGAGTACTTACTTTCGATTTATTTGATTGTTCGTTTAGTATTATTTATTTGGGGTGGGGACCGCCCTCGTTTTTATACGGGGGTGTTGAGTTTCCCTTGCCCTCCTCTATGAATACACACACACGTGTGTGCTTCATCTATGGGCGCTGTTGTTCTTTTATATCTATTTATGTGTGGCGGGGAAGGGGGCGTTGTTTCCCCTCGCCTTATGTGGAGACCTATGGGGGTGACATCCCACAGGGCTTGTTTCTCGTCAGGCCTTGAGGCGACGGCGCCCCCGCACCCCCCTCCCTTGGCGGCGGCGGCGGCGGCGGCGGCCATGTTGCGCGCGGCGGGCGTCGCGGGAGGCGGCCTCCTCACGAGCAGCGCTGGGCTGGGCTGAGGCGGTTGCTGCCGGCCTCCCCGCCCGCCCGCCCGCCCGCCCGCCAGCGCGCCGCTCCTTCTTCCCTCTCTTCTCTCCGGGACGTCTCTCCGCACCGCCGCGCCGGCAGCCGCCCAGCAGCCCTTCCCCGCTGCCGGAGCCCCGCGACCGAGGAGGGACCGAGGAGAGCCTCGCCGGCCGGCCGGCCGCTCCCTCCCACGCCGCCATGGCCGGGCACAGCGGTCACCCCCGCGCCAGCGCCGCCTGCATCGTGGTGAGGGGCCGAGAGGGGAGGGGGCTGGGACGGGGGGCTGCGGACATAGCCCCACATGGGGCGGGGGGGCGACCCTCAAACCCCCGCCCTGCAAGGCATGGGGGCATCGGGGCTTTCTCCCCCCCCCCCGCCAAGTGGGTAGCTGGGGTGGGGGACCCATAATGTGGGAAGGTGCTGGAAGGCCAAGGGCAGGGGGCCTGGAGCCTGCGGGGCGGGCCCGGAGGGTGTCTGGAGATGTGGGGTCCGCTTAAAAGGAGGTAGGGGGGCGAGGCCCCTGTGGACCTCCACCTCCCCCGCAGTTATCCCCTCCACACGCCACCCCCAAAATGACTGTGATGGTTTGCATATATTATTTCATAAAATTCATACACCAATTGATGGCCCCCAAAAAGAGAAAAACACATTTAAAAGCCTCAGATCGGTTTACAAAATGTGATAAAACTCTAAAATCAGGGGAAGGGGATGATTGCAATGCAATGCAATGTACAAGAAGTTTAAAACACTCAAACAGATAAAGAGGCACACCACCAGCATTTCTAAGAATCTGGCTGTATACCGTAATTCCAGGTTTTGTTAAGGGGCAGTTGGTTGACATACGAAAAGTGTGCTGCCTTTGGGAGTGAAGCCTTGGAGGGTTTCAGCTGTGGCTGCAGAGCCCAAAAGGGGAGAGCCATGTTTTGTTGCAGGCAGGGCAGGCGAAGGAGCGTCCAGTTGGTTGTTTGCTGAATTTGGGGAGGCTGATTTGGACCAGGGTCAGCCCTCCTCCCCACATCCCTACTTTTGAAGGGGTGCTGGGGGAGGGCAGGGTTAGCGCCTCCTCAGGAAACTCTGGAGAGGAGAATGATAACCTGGAACAGAAGGAAAAAAGATTTTGTTACATTCAGAGAGTTGGGGGAATTAATATGTACCCCCAGCTAATAGGGTTCAAAGAGGAAGGAAGGAGAAGGTGAATGGCTTTAAACTGGAGGTTAATCTAGGGAGGGTTGAAGAGTTTAAAGTGGAGGGGGATATTCATTTGGTGTCTCAAGGAAAAAGAGGTTTTTAAAGGGGGGAAACGATGTTTTTCAGTAGTGTTACTGATAAGGGATAGAAGGCTTAACTTGTACAAGCACTCATGACCCTGACCATAATCTGTATTTCTAATATACTAGGGATGATTTTTTGAGGTATAAATAAAGAATCAGGTTTCTGGGCATATTCAGAATGCCTTCATCTCAAGTTATGCCTTTTGCATCAAACCATTACAATAATTTATCTGTTTATATATGGATATTGCCAGAGTTAATATCTACAAAAGTATGCAACTATTTTTTGTGTTCTTAAAAAAAATATATTAGGCCTACTGAGGTCAATCAGCTTATTTCTAGGTAAGTGGTTTAATGTTGCAGCCTTAGACACATTTGGGCTGCAATCCTAAACCCACTTGCCTGGGAGTAAGCCCACTGAATTCAGTAGGACTTACTTCTGCATTTACATGGTTAGGATTGTGCTGTGTAACCTATTAAACTCAGTGGTGCTTACTTCCTAGTAAATGTGCATAGGACTGTGCTCACCAAGCACATGTGAAGATGAGTAATTTCCTGTTCAAGGAGTCTAGTTCTGAAATATGTTTCTTGTGTGTCCTTGACTTCATTAGCTTGAGCTAGCCATATTTGGGTTTGATGCAAATAAAAAGGACTCCAACTGATTTCTGTAACTGAACATGTCAGCATGTTCAGTTGGATAAGACAACACCATAAGTTTGAACATTTTTCATTAAATTAACCCAATGCCTTACTTACTATGAAAGTGGATTTTGAATTTCAGTTTTCCTCATCTCAGGATAGTTATTCTTTCTTTCTGCAATACATAAGTATACAACTGTATACAATACTTATATTATATTATATTATATTATATTGTATTATATTGTATTATATTACATTATTATTATAACTTGAGGGGTAGAATTAAGGTGGGGTGTCAAAAGCCAGATTTAGTAGGAAGAGAGAGAGGCATCACCACAAGTCAGGGAACCCCAAAGTTTCCTCTGGTGAAATACTTTGAAATGTCAGCAACATGGCATCTTTTATGTTATCATTTGAACCCAGGCTTTCTAAACTGATGTTCATAGAGGAACTGCTACCACTGCCTGACTCCTACTTCTTGAATTGAAGGGGTACAAAAGTCTGGATTGATCAGTTGCTGTTTAACGCTGGTCAAGTTCTATGCAAGGAGCTTGGCTCCCTGATATACTGCAGAGCTTAGGGCATAGACAAGCTTGGAGGTGGCTTGAACGCAAATGAATGAAAACTCCAGTGGAATGCAATTGAACACTGGCGAGCGATCATCATCAAGCTTACTTAGTGGCAGTGAATGATAGCAAAGTATGCCTCCTCGCTGTGCTGTCCAGTGCAGAGCTTTTCTGGGTAGTACCGGGCCTTTTACAGTTGGGCGCAAAGGAGGTGGGAGAACAGACAGTAGCTCACTGTGATTTGGTTGCAAAGCATTGGATAAAACTGATTACATCTGCCAGGATCTTGACGCCACTGTTTACAGCAGATGAATCTCGAGGGGTGTCCAGAGCACAGTCTAGTCCTGTTGTGTTGGATGAGTTTCCGTTAGTAAGGCTCAAAGACATGGACAAGGTGCTAGGATCGGTCAGGGCACTCGCTTTCGCTCTGGACCCTTGCTCCTCCTGGCTGATAGAAACTAGCAGGGGAGGGACAGCTGGCTGGGCCAGGGAAGTGGTTAATACCTCTTGCGAGAGGAGGAGGTGGTCCCTGCCCGCTTCAAGGAGGCAGTGGTGAAACCACTCAGCCAAGAAATCCTCCCTGGATTCAGAACATTACTTCTGTTGTCTATGCTCTGGTAACCTCTAGGTTTGATTGCTGTAATGCATTATATGTGAGGCTTCCTATGAAGACGGTTTGGAAACTTGGTGCAGAATTCAGTGGCCAGATTGCTCACCAGGGCAAGCCAGTTTGAGCATATTACACCAATCCTGGCCCGACTGTACCAGTTGCCAATTATTTTCCAGGCTCAGTTAAAAGTGCTGTGTTTTGACTCAGAACTGCAATACCTCAAGGACCACCTCTCCCCATATGAGCCTACCCGGACCCTGTGATCATAATCGGAGGCCCTTCTTTGTGTGCCTCCTTCATGAGAGGTCCAGAAAGCCACAACATGAGAATGCCTTTTCTGCGGTGGCTCCTTGTTTGTGGCATTTAAGGGAGGCTCACCTGGCACCTTCATTATATATCTTTAGGTGCCAGGCAAAAACATTCCTCTTCTCCCAAGGCCTTGGCTAGTTTAGCAATCTACAGCCTTTTGAATTGTTGTTTTTGTTCTTTACTATGTTATGTATTTGGCCCTTCACCTGTGATCCTCTGCTGAAGTGCAGTATAGAAATTTTAATAAATAAATAAATTCTCTCATAGTAGGCACTGCAAGTAGGGGAACCCAATCTGGGGTCTTCCAGACACCAGTAATGCCCACTGATAGAACCTCTATCTCTGGCAGATGAACTGAAATGCTCAGTTCAGTGGAAAGATGAGAAAATGTTATTTGAGGAACCCAATAATAAATACAGAGCCAACAGGGTTCTGCACAAGCCTTCTGATAAATCTAAACATTTGCTGTTTATGGATTGCTGCAGCATATTTTATTCTAGCCCTTCAGGTGTTTTTGACTAGAGGGTACCAGTTTGGGGAAGGCTGTTCTGTTCCAAGTGCTACAGTCTCCGTGGAACATTAAGACACATTTTCAGCATCTATTTATCACAAGCCGGGTTCAGTTCCTTTCTGCCATGTGGGTGTTAATCAATTGGTTTATGAAGAGGCAAAGGAGCATGGTGTTCCTCTCAAGGCCATTGCATAAAAGTGCGTCTGGCTTGCTGCTGCAATCAAATTAGTTGTTTCTACCTGCAGAATGTTTCTCATGAGACTATAATTCACAACGAGGGATTCTTTAGTTGTATTGCTGCTCAGTAGCATACAGGACAGCCAAGTGTGGTTGGTAGCAGAAGCAATTAAAAAACCACACACACATAATCAGTATGTAGATCTTAGCTTTGATAAGGGGAACATGCACCTCTCCATGCCTTTAAAAGTCGCCAAATGTATCTCTAGGACTAATAAGGTCTAGTCACTTACTGCTGTTTGAAACTGAGGTTTTCAGTATTCTCTAACATATTTTAAACATTCCGAGCAGTGTTTTGTTTTTGATATCTTGGGGTTATATTATTTTAGGAGCTGCTTGTAGTGGAGTATCCTGGCTTTTTCTCAAACTTTTAGGTTTTTTAAATCAAATTCCACCTCCAAAAAAAAACTTCTGTTGTTGCTGTTTTCAAAAAAGCCTCAGAAATGTGGGAACTGAAAGGGTCAACATAATGTTGTTTAGTCGTTTAGTCGTGTCCGACTCTTCGTGACCCCATGGACCACCAGAGCACGCCAGGCACTCCTGTCTTCCACTGCCTCCCGCAGTTTGGTCAGACTCTTTGTAGCTTCGAGAACACTGTCCAACCATCTCGTCCTCTGTCGTCCCCTTCTCCTTGTGCCCTCCATCTTTCCCAACATCAGGGTCTTTTCCAGGGAGTCTTCTCTTCTCACGAGGTGGCCAAAGTATTGGAGCCTCAGCTTCACGATCTGTCCTTCCAGTGAGCACTCAGGGCTGATTTCCTTAAGAATGGATACGTTTGATCTTCTTGCAGTCCATGGGACTCTCAAGAGTCTCCTCCAGCACCATAATTCAAAAGCATCAATTCTTCGGCGATCAGCCTTCTTTATGGTCCAGCTCTCACTTCCGTACATCACTACAGGGAAAACAAGGTCAGCAACCACACTACCTGGGGTGTACGGGACAACCATTTCTTTCTGGTATAGTTCCTCTGTGTATTCTTGCCACCTCAGCATAATACCTAATCACAAATACTGTATTGTCCTCCTCAGAGTCTACTTCTTCCCCAAAGCCTCTCCCAAACTACTTCCTCCCCTGCCACTTGATTCCCCTCAACCCTTCCCCACTTTCTCTCCCTGGTCCCTGGTCAGCTGTGCGTTCTGTGCAGTGCCCAGCATTCTCTTGGTGCTAAAGTTTGACTGTAGCAGAATCACGATTCCCAGTTCAAAGATGGGAGGAGATTGTAGTTGTCTGCAGTTTTCAACTGGTGCATTCCTCCCAGAGTCAATGAGTCTCTGAGTAGGATGTGAAGGCTGTGGTGGCAGATAAACCCATGAGTAGCAGCAAATATACATCATTCAGCTTGCCTTCCTAGAGGAGCCCTCTTTGCTGGAGGGTGGGGAGGAGAAAACTGTACTTGCATGCTCTGCTGTGGAGCTTTGCTGTCATGTATTTTGAGGATTCAAGTCAGAAATGGTGCACCATTGTCCTCTATTGATCCCACTGACTCTTCCATAGCTCTGAAAGTTCTCATTGCCTTGCCTAGTCCTTAGATGATATTTTCTCAATATTATTTTTATTTAACTTTTCCCATTTTTCCATTATAAATGATAACCCACCCCCAACTGCACAAACTATCTTTGCATCAAAATATTTTTCCTTCATCTCAAAGCTAATTAACAGAATAAAATCCATTCCCCGATATCTTTTTCACTGGAAATACCATAGTTGAAGCCCCCTGGAGCCTCACGCAGGCAAAACATACACTCTGCCAATAGATTATAGCCTTGAATTTTTGAGTAATCCCAGATTATGAGGCTTTTTTATATATTTTTGTTCTCTGGGAGGATATGTAACACATTGTACCTGACCTCACCTTTTCTGTTTTCCTTTTAGATTGGAGATGATGAACAAGGATATGACCTAGACTTGTTTTGCATACCAAAACATTATGCAGAAGATTTGGAAAAAGTATATATTCCTCATGGGCTTATTATGGACAGGTTTGTTTTACTCTCAGCAATATTCAAAAATGATTATTTGCATGCAAGCCTCTGCATGTTTGTTCTAAGGAGGTTTTACTTTATGGTGGCTCTTGCAGCTTGCTTGGAAGCAGTGTCTGGTTTACTGGAGTGTAGATAAATTGCCTCTGTACACAGTAAAGGCAGTTGCTGTGGAAGGGAACATCTCCTATGCCAGCAACACAATGCTCTGAGGAGCACACCGCTCCTCCTGGGTTGGACTTCCTAGTTCAGTGGAACCCAAATTGTGGTCTGCGGATGACTGCTCCATTCAGCCTGTCCACAGCATTTATGTAGATTGTGGCTGAAGACAAGAGATGGCACATCCATCACATTAAATATTGATACTAATTCGTAATAGTATTTTTATTGTGTCTTTTAATTCTTATATTGGGTTTTAATTTGTAATACAAAAAGTACAATATATAAGAAGTAAAAATGCAATTGCAAATCAAATGGCTTCTAGTGGAGTACATTACCATTGCTACAGCAAACAAAAATCATTATGTGGTCCATCAGCAATTTTGAGGTGGTCTAAGGGGGTGGTGAAGCTTGGGAACCATTGCTCTAATTTTCTGCACCTCTAGCAAATTGTTACCAGTTCCTGACCCATAAAAAGACAGGTAATTTGCCCATAATTCATATGTTAATGAGAAAAGGGATATAAGGACATACTGTAAATTAAGTGTGTGCATGTGTATATATGAGGTAACAAGTTTCCTCACTGACACACTGGTGTATAAATCTTGAAAGCACAGAACTTTAAAAATTTGAACAGCTTTCTGTTTCCTTGTTTCTGAATTTCCGGAGTGTATTGTTGGTGCCTTACTAATCCAAGCTGCAGTATGCTTTAAAAAGTGAATTAATTTACCTTCTGAAGACCTGTATGCTTCATATCTTTCGAAAGTTGTCCAGTAACTAGGCAGAGACTGAGATTTACTTTGGCACATGCTGCCCTGTAAAATCAAGGGAGTTTGGCAGTACTGCTATTAGATTAACCTTGACAAGTGAGAAAAAGCAGAAATGTCACTGACCAGTAAATAGCCCTATTTTGTCAGATGGGAGATAAATACAATATCAGGGAAAGATGCTCTGTTGGCTTTATCTTTGCATGAATGCTTACCATGGTTTGTCCAAGCCAGTGGGGGTGAATAATAACATGATATAATGAGAATAATTTTCAGTCTCAAGTCCTTGAAGGAGGGCCTCTCCTGTTACTTGTCAGTCTGGGTGTTAAAATCTTATTGGGACACCCTTCTTGCAATCCCACTGGTGATTTCTACTCAGTGGGCAGTTGTGTGGGGAAGAGTCTTAATAGTCTTAAGGCCCCATCTGCATATATTTTTTCTCCTCTCTCCAGAACTATGGCTGACTTCTTTCTTCCTGAGTTTTCCATGTGGTGTGAAGACACATCTTTTTGGGCAGGCCTTAGAGTAGCAGTTTGATTTTAACTCATGTTCTGACTCTTAGTCTTTTGGAATAGTTTTATATTTTTATGTTGTAATTTATTATTCTTATGATATAGATTTGTATATGCCCTGGAATCTCTGTGGAGGAAGGCTGGTTTAGAAATGGTACAAATAAGTGTGTGTGTGTGTGTGTGTGTGTGTGAGAGAGAGAGAGAGAGAGAGAGAGAGAGAGAGAGAGAGACCTGGCACTGCGCTCGGTGTGGCAAATTAGTTTGTTTCTCTTTCCACAGAACAGAAAGACTGGCACGAGAAATCATGCAGAGTATGGGAGGGCATCACATCGTGGCTCTCTGTGTACTTAAAGGGGGCTACAAGTTCTTTGCTGACTTGCTGGATTATATCAAAGCCCTGAATCGAAACAGTGACAAGTCTATCCCTATGACCGTTGACTTCATCAGGCTGAAGAGCTATTGCGTAAGTGTGTCTGCAGTCGCTCACGCAGATGGCTATCCAACCACTGTTTAAAAGCACCAATGAAGGAGAGTCTGCCACCTTCCAAGGCTGCCTGTTCTACTGTTGAACGGCTCTTACTGTCACAATGTTCTTCCTAATGTTGTGTCAGGGTCCCCTTTCTTGTAATCTGAACCTGCTGGTTCTGGTTCTGCCTTCTGGAATAGAAGCAAACAAGCCTGCTGCATCTTCCATGTCCTATTCAAATGGCGCTGGAGGTTTTAAAGCAGAGGTTGGATAGCCATCTGACAGGGATTCTTTAGTTGTGATTCCTCCATTGTGGGGGGTTGGGCTACATGACTCTTGGAGGTCCCTTCTGTGGGGATGTTTGAGGGGATATATTATTTTATTATATCCTTCCAAACTTGCATCAGCAAGTTCCATAACTTAGCAGAGTTGTTAAACAATCTCCCTTTTAAATTACACAGCAGTTAGCTAGTTGCAGGCTTGTCTGAGCCTCACTATTTAGGATTCCTGGTTTTCCTTTTTATATCCCTCCTAAAAGAATAGACACAACCATATGATTAAAGTTAACATAAAACTAGTTTACTTACAATCATCCAGTTCACAATAAGATCCCTGAAGGCAGACTTAATTTACAGAACAGCCTATAACAATGTGAACTATCCCATAAGGGAAATAGTCTCAAGTGGCTGCGATTCAGCAGTCACTTCTCCTAACTCTTGGGAACACAAAAAATGGAAAACAAAAAAGGCGGAACATGGAGGCCATGTGCTCATCTGTCCAAGAACAGACCACACCACACTAAGTCACATGCAAAGGAAGTCTGTCCCAGCTCAGGAGGAACTAGCAAGTTTTCTCCTGAGTGATACATTGCATGTGCATTGTAGGAATGTTGTATTTGACTACAATACATTTTTACATCCTACACCTTCCAACTCTACAGTTCTGTGATTCTATGAGGAATACCATTGATGTTAACATTTAGCTGAGGCTTAGGTCCAAGGAGGATAACAACTTGCTTTTGGAAATTATGTGCTTGGTTTTATTTTTTGATTATTAAAGGTTTTTCTTTTACTTTAAGAAGGTAGGTGATTGTTCAGTGTAACATTTATCATTGAGGAAACAGAAAATACTTAGGAGTTTAAAGTCATATAAGAAAAACTTAAACTAAGAATTTGAAAAGCACATATGGAGTATATTATTTCTGTGATCAGGGCACTATACTTCTGTGATCCCATTCCCCTTAACTAAGGACCTGATTAAAGTACACAAAAAGGAGGGGAGATAAGTAGAAACAACCTAATTGGAAACATAAATTTATAATTTGCTTGAGTTGTCTGTGAAATTAGAAATTAAATTGTTTACAGAGTTTTGAGGGTTGGGATTAGGCATGTTTACAAAGTAGGGTATTGACATCACATGAGTGATAGTATATTTCTTTTTAGACATCAATTTTTAAAGGCAATTCTTGTTTGCTGTCAAAAGCACAGATACAAGTATGACAGCTTCCTTCTTCTTAAAACTACAAATGGAAACATTAAGTGCCTTCTTTTCTAGATGTTTTGTACCTTTACACTTGTACCTCCTCATATTTTAAAATAATGTAGATGTACTTTCAGCTATCCATTCTGTCAATCGCCTTTTTAGTCCCTGGTACATCCTTGACTGTCTCTTCCAGACAGACAGCTTTATGTTCTACTGTGGGTGGGAGTGATGTTTTATGTTCATTTTTAAGAGGCTTAGTCAAGGTGGGGGAGAAGCGCTCCTGTCTTTGTAAGTCGCTTTGAGTTCACATTTCTGAAAAAAAACCTGATGGGAGGAAGAAGACGAAGAAGAAAGAGGGAGCCTTATTCTGTGCAGGATTGGGAAAATTTTCCTCTTCCTCTGTTGTATGGTGAATGTTGCCAGCCAGGATTTACAAACTTTTTAAAAGCTTCATTTTTCAAGTAGGGCTTTTGGTTTGTTGGTTTGTTTGTTTGTTTGTTTTTGTGTTTAGTGAAGATTCACTTTATTATTATTCTCCTCCAAACCCTTTCTTTTTCTTTTCTCTCTAAAATCAGAATGACCAGTCCACTGGTGATATAAAGGTAATTGGTGGGGATGACCTCTCAACCTTGACTGGCAAGGTATGTAATAAATGGCGATAGATAGATAGATAGATAGATAGATAGATAGATAGATAGATAGGGAAATTTCTGTGAAGCACTTTTGTATGCTACTAATTTTCCATCACCAATTAGTTACACTTAAAGACAGAGCACAATTGAATCCATTCTGTGAGATGCAAATAAAGGTGAGAGTGCACATGCGCCAGGTTGCAAGGTCCTCTTCTCTCGCTGGCTGTATTTTGCAACAGCACAATTGCTGTGTATGTTTTTGTTGCCCCTTCCTTAGGGGCTTAAAAAAAATCATAGAGAAAAAACACATCAATTCCTATTAGCTGTTATAGTGAAGTAGAACTTCATTATACAGAAGCAGCAGAGCTCTCTATACCAGATGCTGGGGACAAAATCTGGGGAAGGTTATTATCCTCATGCCCAATTTGTAAGTCCCCAGAGGCACCTGAGAGTCACTGCAGGAATGAGGACTAGGCAAGACTATTGTTTTGATCAAGTAGCCACTGACGGATGTGGCTTATGTTGTCTTTTGTAAATGGTAGCACTTGCTACTAAGAAACATTATAATAGAACATGGCCATATCAACTGCATGCAACACCTTAGGAGCAATTTCCCTCATTTTTGTTCCAGTGTTCCATGCTGCAAAGTCTGTTTGTGGAAGGCAATCTAAATTTGAAAAAAGTAAACTGCAAATACTCTTCGGGAGTCTTGTTACTTTAGAAGTATAAAAGGAGACAACTGTGACCAAAGAAACATAATGCTACAGTAATCAAGTCAAGGAAACAATTTTAAAAACCAAAGTATAAGACTTGAAATCTGAATCAGTGAAGTGCAACCTGTGAACAGAATATGCCTGGCACAGATGTAGGCATATTATGTTTATTTGTGGCATTTTGTTGGTTCAGGTTTCAAGTTTTTTATTTCCCCTGACACTTTTGTTTCTAGGATTAGCTCTTGCAGTCTGATACATCTTCAAAGGGACACAGGAAGCTGCAGGTCAGACTGCAGGCATGCCTCCTTTCATCGCGCCTCACTTTGTTGCACTCCGCAGATACTGCTCTTTACGAGGACCAGGGTGCAGCTGCAGGCAGCCCACTCACTGTCAGGGAAGAGTTAGAAGTTTCCAGTTTATCAGAGGGAGAAAGCATTCGCCAAGGGGGGAGGGAGAGCAGTGAATCTAATAGAAGGGAGCAAGAGGAACAACAGGGAGGGACCGGCTGTTCCCAGGAAAGGCAAGGGTTCAGTTCTAGCTCAGATTGGGAGGAGGGGAGATACAGGCCAGCTCTAGCCAGGAGGGTAGGAAAAAGAGTGGGAAAGCGAAGGGAAGGGCACCTTTGCCATTTTGAGGGTGGCTGGTCACGGAGAAGCAGAGCTCAGAAGGTATCTGAAAGAAGTGACTCTGAGGAATAGTAGTTAAAGATAAGAACCATTTATAAGTTTGTTAATACGCAATAAAAAGTTATAAAAGAACAAGAAGCGTTTGTGTGTGATCTGAAGAGGACAACGACCAGTCCTGACACTCACTTCCAGTGGAAGAAAGCCCCCCCCCCCCCTTCTGGCCACAGCAGTGGAGCTGGCCAGGGCTGGGGCTGGGTTTTTCTCCTCCTGCCCTTGGTTGCAGGGGCCCCTTGCCTAGACTACAGCATAGTGTAAACATAGCTTTTATATCCAAATGGAAACAACAACAACAAAAAGTGTGACTTGCTTTATTGCAATACTAGCTTTATTGTGGTGGTATGGAACCGAGCCTGCAATACAGTGGTACCTCAGGTTAAGTACTTAATTCGTTCCGGAGGTCCGTTCTTAACCTGAAACTGTTCTTAACCTGAAGCACCATTTTAGCCAGTGGGGCCTCCAGCTGCCGCCGCACCGCCAGAACACGATTTCTGTTCTCATCCTGAAGCAAAGTTCTTAACCTGAAGCACGATTTCTGGGTTAGCGGAGTCTTTAACCTGAAGCGTATGTAACCTGAAGCGTATGTAAGCCAAGGTACCACTGTATCTCCAATGTGGTATGTGTATTTGTCCCCCTAACCCAGCATGTTTGCTCCAGTTAGCAATGGTTCTGCAGGATATCTGGCAGCAAAGAGTCTCTTCCAGTCACCCAGTGGCGTAGCGTGGGGGGTGCAGGGGGGGCCGGCCGCACCAGGCGCAACATCTGGGGGTTAGGGTTAGGGGGCGCAAATCCACGGGTTAGGGGGCGCAAATTACTTGCCTTGCCCCGGGGGCTGACAACCCACGCTACGCCACTGCAGTCACCTGATCACCTACCAACCTGACCCTGGAGGGGCTTGGAGGGTGTTGAACTTTGGGCCTTTTGCATGCAATGCAGCTGCCCTACCACTGAGCCCTTCCCCTTATCTTTACAGTATTGAGAAGATAAGACTTCTTAAAATATAATTCTGGGGTGGGGAGCTTGTGCCCCTCCAGATGCTGCTGGATTACAACTCCTTGTGATCATCCTTGACGGTTGGCCGTGCTGGCAGTGGCTGATGTGGGTTGGATTCCAACAGTCTCTGGAGGGCCACAGGTTCCCCACTCCTGCACTTGAACATCTTCTGAAGCGCATCTTGTCTTCTTTGTAGTGCTGCTTCTGTCTAATAGCAGCATTCATCTCATCCTCTATTTTGTGCCTACTGCTGTATAGAGCAAGAAATGTCCCCCAAAGGCTGTTGCAATATTCTGTTACGTCTCCCCTCTCCTGGTTCTGCCGTACAAACAGAGCTGCTTGTCAAGACATTCAACTTTCATTTGTCATGTAAGGTGTGAAACGTTTCACTTCTAACAGTAAATATTAATGACAGTAGCAAGTAATGCTATAAGGATCATACAAAATTTTTGAAAACCTTAACCCCTCCCCTGCTATCAGTTATTCTCTAAGCTTTCACAGAAGGCTTCCGATTGTGCCTCCCAGTAGATATAGAGATGTAGGATTGCACAGGACGTCTTGAGGTTCTGTCTGTAAGTGACCATACCAATGATGCCTCTAGGGCCTTGGGTGCTCCCTTACTTGCACTCTGCAACCTCTAGGCTTTGTTTATGTGGGGGTTGGGGGGGGTTCACCCCCTACTCAACTTCTTCATGGATAGATAGCACATTCACATTTAGGTACATGATTCAGTTCTAAATCACTCTCTACTTTAAATATGAAGACAAGTCATGAAAATATGAATGAGTACTCCCTGTTCTGAATTCTAATGTGGCACTAGTTATAAACTGCCTTATACATAGTCAGGCCATTGATCCATCAAGCTCAGGATGGTCTTCCCTGACTGGCGATTTCTCGGCAGGGTTTCAGATGGAACATTTCCAGCCCCTCCTGGATAGCCAGGCATTGAAATTGGGACCTTCTGCTACTGATCCAGGGCCGTCCTAATTTTTACAAAGCTGTTCTGATGATGAATGTTCAATATTTTTGTTGTTGTTAGCTTGCCCTTGAGAAGGTGCCTAAACTAGCTAAGCAATATCAGTGCATTAGAAAGAATAGGATGTGGCACATGTTGTATTTCCTCTGGTACTAATGCTTCCCCGCCCCCTCAGTTGGTTCTGAAACTTGTTGCATTGAAATTGGTACTTTATTTCTGAACTGTGATAAACTTTCGATTTTGAGTTTGTGCTAAAGAGCAGTAGAAACCTGAGTCGTTTAACCACAGGGCATAATTTTGTAGCCATTTTCTGCTGGTTTGCTTCATAGTTGAAGTATCCACCTATATTTGTGTGCTGGTTAATCAGGGAAATGAAAAATGAAAAACAGGCATCCTGAAAAGGTTTGGATAAATATAAATTGTAAACCAAGTGTTGACTTAATTAAACTCATGAGCAATTACTCATGAGTTTCTATTTTTCTCTTTCTCCTAGAATGTCTTGATTGTAGAAGTAAGTACAACAGTTTACATTTTCCTTTTTTAATAGGTATGATTTGAGGTAATGCTGTGAAACCAGTACAAATAATGTAGCACCATTTTACTCCAGAACAAAAACTATCCCTAAGCTAAAGTATGGATTAAAGCTCTCTCAAAAGAAAAAGCAATTTCTCTTGTACGAGCACTTAATTCGCATGCAGTTTTTTTTACTACTAAGATGGATAGCCAAGAATGCATTGTTGAACTGATTCTGCTTAATTGCATTGTGACTTAATTCAGCTGGAGCTTGTTAATATTTTACACAAAAATGCTCTTGTTCTTGTGGAGACCATGTAAAGAGCTGATCAAGTATTGGTGTGCACTTCAAATTCTGGGACCATATCCATTTGCAGATATGTTCCCTTCATCCCCCCCCCCCCTATAATTACTGACAGACACAAATGAGCACCAAATGACCCTGAATTTTATTCCTCCTCGTATGTATGATTATGAACCTGTAAGAGGTACTTGGCTGCAGCTTCACTTCACAAGGCTCTTTTTGTTTTAAATGTCAGGATATAATTGACACTGGTAAGACAATGAAGACTCTTCTGTCTCTGCTTAAGCAGTACAACCCAAAGATGGTGAAAGTAGCCAGGTATGTTTAATTCCTGCATTTGCTACAATTTGCTTTCTCAGGAACTTTTGCAGAATGATGAAAAAAGGTGGTACAGTTACACATCTTTTTGTATCCTTTTGAGGTCAGTTACGTTTAGGGGTTAATAAGTGCAAGGTTGGGGGTGTTAATTTTTCTCCATTGCTTGTGCTGGATATTGATCATTGCCTTTGTGATGAAGGTGCCCACAGTTAAAAGCAGCGGGCTCTCAATCCACCTCTATGCTTCAGCTGCTCAAGACTGAATAACAAAGAGAACTAGTCTAAGGGAAATTGCTTTATTAAAAGGTTTTAACAGTTTAGTTTTTGGTCTAAAAATGAGTGTCATCTTGGATCACTTCTCTCTTAAACACCCACATATTATACTTACTCTTAGTAGACCTTCTGCGTTCTTAGTACAATGACTCTTGCATCTCACTCAGTAGCTAGCTTAAATACTAATTTTTAACTTTAATTATCAGAATAACTCTGCCTTCCTAAACAAACTTCTTTATTTATTCTGTATATTTTGAGGAAAGTCTCCCACTGTCCACAGTATATTTTGAGCATAGGTAAAGTCACTTTTCTGTTGCACAAGTTTCATGGCAGTGCAGGGGCCTAGGCAGGGGGGAGATGCTTCAGGCACAGAACGGTGATGTGCTGAATTTCCCCTTCTGGCATCACTGAAGGAGGAAGAGAATACTTTTCAATGCCTGCTCCTCCTCATACACAATTGGTCAAAGAGCAGCCTTTGTTGTTTAGTCGTGTCTGACTCTTCGTGACCCCATGGACCAGAGCACGCCAGGCACTCCTGTCTTCCACTGCCTCCCGCAGCTTGGTCAAACTCATGCTGGTAGCTTCGAGAACACTGTCCAACCATCTCGTCCTCTGTCGTCTCCTTGTGCCTTCAATCTTTCCCAGCATCAGGGTCTTTTCCAACTACCGCACAATCGCACTCATTTCACACGCTAGCAAGGTTATGCTTAAAATTCTACAAGGCAGGCTTAAGCAGTATGTGGGCCAAGAACTCCCAGAAGTGCAAGCTGGATTTCGAAGCGGCAGAGGAACTAGAGACCAAATTGCAAACATGCACTGGATTACGGAGAAAGCTAGAGAGTTCCAGAAAGACATCTACTTCTGCTTCATTGACTATGCAAAAGCCTTTGACTGTGTTGACCACAGCAAACTATGGCAAGTTCTTAAAGAAATGGGAGTGCCTGATCACCTCATCTGTCTCCTGAGAAATCTCCATGTGGGACAAGAATCATAGAATCATAGAGTTGGAAGAGACCACAAGGGCCATCGAGTCCAACCCCCTGCCAAGCAGGAAACACCATCAGAGCACTCCTGACATATGGTTGTCAAGCCTCTGCTTAAAGACCTCCAAAGAAGGAGACTCCACCACACTCCTTGGCAGCAAATTCCACTGTCAAACAGCTCTTGCTGTCAGGAAGTTCTTCCTAATGTTTAGGTGGAATCTTCTTTCTTGTAGTTTGGATCCATTGCTCCGTGTCCGCTTCTCTGGAGCAGCAGAAAACAACCTTTCTCCCTCCTCTATGTGACATCCTTTTATATATTTGAACATGGCTATCATATCACCCCTTAACCTCCTCTTCTCCAGGCTAAACATGCCCAGCTCCCTTAGCCGTTCCTCATAAGGCATCATTTCCAGGCCTTTGACCATTTTAGTTGCCCTCCTCTGGACATGTTCCAGTTTGTCAGTGTCCTTCTTGAACTGTGGTGCCCAGAACTGGACAGAGTACTCCAGGTGAGGTCTGACCAGAGCAGAATACAGTGGCACTATTACTTCCCTTGATCTAGATGCTATACTCCTATTGATGCAGCCCAGAATTGCATTGGCTTTTAGCTGCCGCGTCACACCGTTGGCTCATGTCAAGTTTGTGGTCAACCAAGACTCCTAGATCCTTTTCACATGTACTGCTCTCAAGCCAGGTGTCACCCATCTTGTATTTGTGCCTCTCATTTTTTTTGCCCAAGTGCAATACTTTACATTTCTCCCTGTTAAAATTCATCTTGTTTGTTTTGGCCCAGTTCTCTAATCTGTCAAGAAGCCCAGGATGTCAATATTTATTCTTGCCATCTCATTTTTGACCACATCCAACTTACCCAAGTTCATGGTTCTTACGTTCCAGGTTCCTATGCAATATTTTTCTTTACAGCATTGGACTTTCCTTTCGCTTCCAGGCATATCCGCAACTGAGCATCCTTTCGGCTTTGGCCCAGCCACTTCATCAGCTCTGAATCTACTTGTACTTGTCCTTTGTTCTTCCTCAGTAGCATGTTGGACGCCTTCTGACCTGAGGGGCTCATCTTCCAGCATCATAACTTTTCTATGCCTGTTGTCTTTGTCCATGGAGTTTTCTTGGCAGGGATACTGGAGTGGCTTGCTGGTTCCTGCTCCAGGTGGATTACGTTTAGTCAAAACTCTCCACTATGACCTGTCCATCTTGGGTGGCCCTGCACGGCGTAGCTCATAGCTTCTGAGTTGTTCAAGCCCCTTCGCCATGGCAAGGCAGTGATCCCTGAAGGGGAGAGCAGCCTTTATGCTCACTTAAAACTTGGCTGTAGAAAGAACCCTCTAACTGCCACTGTAATCCAGATTCAGTGTTTCCACTGTGATATAGCAGTGGGGGAGTACAGAACTTAGAGGCTTGGCATGCAGGGAGCAGGGAGTGCATTTCATGAGTTAATTTCTACCCACAATTTACTTTTTTTGCTTTGGGGTCTTTTTAACAGCTTGTTGGTCAAAAGAACACCTCGAAGTGTAGGATACCGTCCTGACTGTAAGTGAAGAGCTCAGTGCACCTTAAAATATATACATTTTTAAAGCAATGTAAAAATCTCTATATTCAGATTGAAAGTAGATGAAATTTGACTGCAGGGAGTCACTGGCCTAAAGAACAATTGTAATGTTACAAAATGGGAGGGATATATGTGGACAGAAAAGAATTATAGGAGCTGGAGCAGAATTAAGGAGAGTGACCTGGCCTCTGTGGATATGTACTGTACTTGGTTTGCAGTGTGTTTAAGTAGAGATACCTGAAGGACTTGTGAAATGGGTAACGGTGCAATCCTGGGCATATTTACTCCAAACTGTGTTCAGTGGGGCTTTCTCCCTATTAAATGTGTTTAGGATTGCAGCTTAAATTGCAGCTTTTGCAATAATTTAACTCCTTTCAGTGGTATGTGTTTTTCCACTCATTTGGGGCCTTGTCATCTAGTCCCTACCGTGACGCGGGTGGCGCTGTGGGTTAAACCACAGAGCCTAGGACTTGCTGATCAGAAGGTCGGCAGCTCGAATCCCCGTGACAGGGTGAGCTCCCGTTGCTCGGTCCCTTCTCCTGCCAACCTAGCAGTTCAAAAGCACGTCAAAGTGCAAATAGATAAATAGGTCCCGCTCCGGCAGGAAGGTAAACGGCGTTTCCGTGCGCTGCTCTGGTTCGCCAGAAGCGGCTCAGTCATGCTGGCCACATGACCTGGAAGCTGTACGCTGCCTCCCTTGGCCAATAAAGCGAGATGAGCGCCGTAACCCCAGAGTCGGCCACGACTGGACCTAATGGTCAGGGGTCCCTTTACCCTTTACCCTTTACCACCTAGTCCCTACTGTCTCACTCCTTTGGACAATGGTGTAGCTTTTCCCTGTATCAAAATGTACTGTCAGTTTTATGTCTCCCTGTTTTATCCTTGTTACATTTTTTAAACAATGCCAATAGGCAGCATTATCAAATAGGAAACTGGTTATGAATAATCCAAATAATGTAATATGATTATCTAAACATTGCCCAAATTTAACATACTGATGAATTCTGGCTCTTTTTCAGTTGTTGGGTTTGAAGTACCAGATAAGTTTGTGGTGGGATATGCTCTAGATTACAATGAATACTTCAGAGATCTAAATGTAAGTAATGAACAAAGATTGTCTTCTGTATAAATTGAGGAAGAGTATTTCCCCCCCTGCTCCCCTTCTGCCTGATCTTTACTGTCAAGTAGGAACGTAGGAAACTGGCTTATGCAGAGTCAAACCACTGGTCCAGTATTTTCAGTGCTGACTGACAGAACTTCCCAGGGTTCAAGGCAGAAGGTCTTTTCCATTCATAACTGGGGATACTGGGAATTGAGCCTGGGGCCTTCTGCATGCAAAACAGATGCTCTGCCACTAAGACACAGCCCCCCTTCCCCTTGGTGCAACATTTCCTTTGCTTCTTTTACCGGTGGGTAGAGAAATGCCAGAATGAGGTTTTCGGCAGACGCATATTCTGCTCTTGGGGAACCCCAGGCTCTGCTGGCCATAAACTTTACAGGCACATAATGGGGTGGAGGGAGCTTACGCACACTCCCCACGCAGAAGGGCTGTTTCCTGTATTTCCCACCAAGATCCGTTGGGCTCCCAAACAACCCCATTAACCTGACAGCAGTTTAGGTTCTCCTCCAACCTCAATTCTATATCCTTAAGCCTTATTGGTCAAGTGTGACATTTCCCAGGAGAGATGGGCAGAGAGCCTGTCTCAAAGCAGTTTTTGCCAAAAGGGCTAACAAGTATTTACTGAATTTCTATTGATGTTTTTAATTATTTTCTTATATATATTTATATTTTATTATAGTTTGTATGTTGTAAGCTTCCTTGGTATACTTTATGAAAGTGGAATGTAAACATTAATAATAATAATAATAATAATAATAATAATAATAATAATAATTTATTATTTGTACCCCGCCCATCTGGCTGGGTTTCCCCAGCCACTCTGGGCGGCTTCCATAGAAACCAAAAATACAGTAAAATATCACAGATTAAAACCTTCCCTGAACAGGGCTGCCTTAAGATGTCTTCTAAATGTCAGGTAGTTATTTATATTATATATAATATAGATAATAAATATATTAATAATAATAATAATAATAATATATAATAAATAATAAAATATTTTATATATATATATATATATATATATATATATATATATATATATATATAAAATTAATAATAATAATAATAATAAAATGGCCATTTTAGAATCTGCTGAGGTGGGCAGGTGAGGCAGCTGACATAGCTGCTGTTGTTTTAAATATCCATGCAGCCAAGCTGATGCTAGTGTTACAGAATATCATAATTTTGTGGCTTGCTGTAATTAGACTGAATAGCTACCCCTTCAGGTTCCATTCCTGATGATAATGAGGTAAAAGGAGCCCTGCAGCTTCGTCAGTGAAAGGTCCATTTCTCCATCACCCTGTTTCACACAGTGGTCTGTCTCTAGGCTTCCTTCTGCGAAGCCCACCAGGCACTAGGCCTTTTCTGCTGTGGCACCACCCCTCTCACCACCCCAGGCAGCTGTAACTCAGAGATGCGCTGCCTCTGAACCTGGTTATGATGGTGAACTGCCATGGACTTTGCCTAACCCTCTTCTAAAGCTGTTTGAGCTACTTGCCATCCCCATATCCTGTTGCTGTGTATTTGGAAAGTTAATTATGTGTTTTGTAAAGAAGTCTTTTACTTCTTTGTCTGTCCTGAATTTATTGTCAGTTTTATTAGGGGATCCGAAATTCAAGTATTATGAGCTGAGGGGAGATTTTCTGTACTCCAAGCTTAATTTTATGAACCTCTCTCACAATGTTGTGTTTCCCCACCAACACCACAGTAATTTTTTTTCCTAAACTAGAAATAAGAACAGAAGATTTAAAAAAAAAAAAGTACTGTCCTTTTCACCCTTCCTGTGTCAGCTTGTCCAGGGTTTGCAGCTGCTGTCTCTCAGACTAACAGGTTCTGTGCTTCACTCTCCACCATTTCTTTTTATCATGAGCTGTCAGGGGTCTTTTCCATTACCTTTTTTTTATTATTTTACAGAAGGGTAGTCAGTCCTTGAGGGGTAAATTTATACACATTAATTAGTCACGGATACAATTCTAAAAGAATGTGAAATGTTGCAGTTGATTTGGAAAAGAGTAATTCAGAATCAAGGACTTGTGAAGTGCTCAGTTGCTCCTAAATACAAGTTTCAAGAGTTGGAAATGTTGGATTCTTTTAAAAACTGAAGGATTAATTATTTGGAAATAAATTCACCTAATAATTTGTCACTGCAGGGAATAGAGCTACTTACCCTGGGAGTCATTAGTGGCTGATAAGATGGTGGTTATTCTGTGAACTCTTCCTGTCAGCAAAAGGATTACCCTAGCAAAATGGGGCTTCTCCCCCACTCCTCCCCAGATCTTCTCCAGAGCGTTGGGAAAACCCCTAGAACTGATTTAGGGGACTCATGGGGGAAGGGAGGAGGGGAAGTTGTGTTGCAGAAGAATAAATCTTTGTGCTGATTGAACTTACTGTTATTCTTATTATTTATTAAATTTGTATACTGCTCTATACCTGCAGGTTACATAGCCCTACGTTGAATGCATCCCAAGAATTCTAAGGCAATTCTAACATAGAAAGGAAAGTGTATGGTGACAGGGCTTTATAGTGGGAAGGATAGGTCCTTATTTGAAGGACCCCCTAGAAATGCAGAGCCAACTCTTTGGGCAGTGTTGGAGAAGAGAGAGAGGCACCCCGTGCTGGGGCAGGGAAGGAGCTATGCCAGGACTGCAGCAATGCCTCCACTCACTTCCTTTTCTCCTTCCAAAAAGAGGGTGCTCTGCTTAGGGCATCTACTGGGGCAGTTCCTCACGCCCCCAGTGTATTTATGAAGAACGGGATGAGCTTCTCTCATGTTGAAGGCCCTAGTGGGAGATGTCCCCTGGGTCCTATTTCTTGGTCACACTCAGTGGTAACAGGCTCTGCAGAGTGTTTGTTCATCTCCTAGCTGTTAAACTCCTAATCCACACAGTGCTTTTACCCTCTCTCTTTCAGCACATTTGTGTCATAAGTGAGACTGGGAAACAGAAATACAAGGCATGACAGCAGTTGCTCCAGCACCACAGTTACGGGACTTTGAAATGTGCATCCACAGTGTCCATTTTCCTCTGCCTTTGGCTCTGGTCACCAGCTTACAATTGTAGAGTTCTCCAACTTTGTTGTCATTTGCTTGCTATAACTTATTGCATGTACAGTATAATAACCTCGTCTTGTTCATTTACATTTGAGAAACAAAAAGGGGGTGCCGTTGTGTGTTCTCTCTTTCTCTTTCCTTTTTTAAGAAAATTGCACTATGAATCTACTGATTCTAGCTCCTTTCCTAGTGGGATTTGCTGTGTGTTTGACCCCCAAACATATCCCTCCCTCCCCGCTTTTAAACTTCAGAACTCAAATAGTTTTAAGTACTGTAAATGTATAAGGCATTTTAAGATGGGAAATATTTTTTTTAAAAAACCAAGTAATTTAAGTTTTATATAGTAATGAAAGCAGAAATTAAGGTGATTATTGGATATCCAGGGTGTGCCACCGCCCTACAACAGAGGCACGATGCTCTTGAAGGAGTATGGATAATGTTATGCTAAACTGCTTTCTCTGTAGTTGCCTTACTTGCCTCTTACAGGAGCTCTGCACAAAAAATAATGCCATTTCAGCCTGAAAAGAGAGCAAGTGACATATAGAATGTTGAAGCAGCTACCAGGCTTTTCACCTCCTATAAAATTAATTGTATAGTCCACCTGGAACTTCTCTTACACAAACCCAAGGGGAGAAGAAAATGGGAATTGATTCACATCAGGATTGTCCCCTCCAAGCTCCAGGTGGATTCTGTCTTAATTTTCCTTTCCCTTCTCCATCAGTTGAGCAAAACTGCCTTTCAGAACTATCTTCCTGTATTTCACCTCAATGAAAAATGATTGTAATGTTGACTGTATGCACAACCAACATACTTTTAAATAAAGGCTGTTTCTCCAAAGGTAGCACCTTGATGACTGTGCTGGCCTCTTCCATCTGCCAAAACATCTGCGGTACATATGCCTCCTCAGGGTTCGCTGCACCTTCCCTCTCTGTTGAAGGAAGCAAGGTCTGTGGGCCCCAGGCAGAGGGCACAGCACTCTGCACTAGATGAAACCAGTGCAACCAGTGCCCTGGCAAAGATCAGTTGTTCACTAAGCACCCATGTGTGGGCCATCAGAGGATGCTTTGCAAGTTATCCTTTTATTCTTTTTCCCCTTAGCTTGTTTCTTTGGGGGCTTTTTCAAATGGGTGGTTGGTTCTCTATTGCTCTTTCCAGGTAGGAATTTTATTGAGCCACATCAGAAATGCATTGAAGTGCTGGGCAACCAAAACTACCTTTTAGTTTACTTCTCCCCTCTCACAGGTAAAGTCATGGTTCTGTGTCTTTTTAAGTCATTCAGTTACTGCTGTGCAATGAAGATTTAAAGTGTCGTGTTTTGCTCTTGCCAGGCCATTGCTTCAAAAGAGTAGAGGTGGTGCTTTGAAACTGCAGTTCAGGGTTGCCCCACCTCTGACCCCCCTGCATTTTACAGAGACCTCCGCCTTCTGTTGAACCTTGCAAAAGCAGATTTTATGGTAGCTGATATGTTGATGCATTTGAACGTTGCTCTTGCCTCAGCTGGCAGTAAAGCTTCAGTGGGAAGAGATTAAGATGATGGCTGAGCATCAAACTTCAGTGTAAACTTAGTAAATTACAGTACAGTACAATCCACATCTCATTGCAGCCAAATTGGACAGATCAGAAAGGTTTAAAATCATCACCAAAATAATTGTTTGGTTAATTTAAAGCAAAATTGCTCCTCCATTTGGCAAACTGTATGTCTTCACCATCCATTTGGTTGTCAGTTTGGGTCACTGTTTTTCAACCTAGTCACCCTGTCTTTTGGGTCATGGCCCCATTGGTCTTGTTTCTTTACACTTGCATTTTGGCCTTCAGCACTGTGGATTTCTTCAGAGGGCCCTCAGAGTCTCAGTTACCTAGCTTCTGTGCTCTTTTGCTCATCCCTCTTCCAAAAGAATAAATTGCCTATTCTGCACTTTTCCTTTGAACTTCATTGTCTCTCCACAATCTGCAACTAGACTTATGAAGCTATTTCCTCAGGCCTGTATGAAGATCAAATCCCAGCCTCAGTAGAAGCTGGACTGCGAAATATACCTATGGCTTTTACCTGAGCAATTTTTAAGTTGTTGAACAATCTGTGCCCATCATAGCTGCTCATCAGGTCAGTGTTGAGACCCTTCATGTACCACGAGCACAACTTGTGGCAGTGTGGTGTGACAGAGTGTTGGACTGCGACCTGGGAAACAGGGTTCAGATCCCAATCAGCCACGAAGCACACTGGGTGACCTTGGACCTGTCTTTGTCTCTCAGTCGAACCCACCTCACAGGGTTGCTGTGGGGATTAAATGCACACTGCCTTAAGCATCTCACAGGAAAATATGTATAAATTCTAGAAATAAATAATAAATGAAGTGTTAAACATTTAAGGGACCAATGAAATTTGAAATTGCTGCTTCTGCCTGCCTAGACCAAATTAAGTGCCCAGAGTATTGTTGATAACTGCAGCATCCAGTTCCCTCCTCTTAACATCTGCAAAGAAGCCTAGGATGGGATAAGAGCTGGTATGAAAAAGCAAAGACGAAGAGCCATTGGGTGTAATTATTTGAACAAGAGGAGAGTTGTTAATAGTTCTCTACTTGTGCTTCTTTCAGCCCCCTCTGTGTACTCTCATTTCCATGGCATCTGTATATTGAAACTTGAGTAACCCTCCTCCCCCCCCCCATTTTCCTGCCATATGCATTCTTTTTCTTTTAAATACAATTTTTATTGAAATTTTCAAGGTACAAAAATTCATAATAACAAGACACATTTTTTCCATTTCATTTCTATCTCCCCATTTCCTCTGAAGAGCCCAAGGTGGTTGCACAGTTCTTTCTCTCTCCCACTTTCATCCTCACAACCAGTGCTGCTTGTAAATGCAGAGAAAAATAAAAAAAACCCAAATGAACTTGGCAAAGATTTAAGATGCAGCAATCTGGAAGACAAATAAAGATGATTTACCATGTGCATTTTGTGCCAATACAATTCCCTGGAATTAAAATGAATATGTTAATGGTAGGAAATAGAAGTTTACCCAGCTACTGATGTTCAGGAGAAATTATTAGGACTCCCACAAATGCTAGTTTTCCTGGCTTTACCTGAAACTAGAACCTTGGGGATTGTTCTGCTGTTGCACTTGGGTCCTGCTTTTGAACTTCCCAGAGGAATCTGGCTGACTACCATGAGAGCAGCTTGCTGGTCTAGATGAGATGTTGGCCTTATATTGTTACTAATGGAATCAAAGACTGAACTGCTTATTTTGTTCAAGACACTAGTTGGGGGGGGGGGGCCAAGAAGGCATATTTCCAAGGTTGTAACCACAAGCTTTTTTCCAGTAAGGACACTGCAGTAAGGAAAAGATTGATCCACTTGGCCATCCTAGCAAAGCACACCACAAGGTCTGAAACACATCTGATGGCTGCGCACAACTGGGCCAATGGGCATGTAAGTTGCATTTATGCATGACAGGCCCACATATAATGGTAGAAAGAGGGGGAAGAGTGTCTTGTGCCACTTCACAAATGCAAAAACCATGTTTTTGGATGCTATGTTGTCTTTGGAATGAAAACACCCAGCAAATAAGAATTCAGCAGAGTGTAGAAGTCTCTTCAGCTTAGAACCTTTTTTGTGGTGCTTGAGTATAATTTCCTTGCAAATGAGAAGCCCACAGCAACTTGACAAAAAAGGAAGTTCCAAAGTGTGCTTCTGTGCTCCTTGATAATTGGTAGAATTTACTGCTTTGAGGGTCCCCCCACCACCGCCATCAGAAATTGCTTCTTCCAACTTGGCCAAGCAGTGACTTACCGGTAAGTGTTTGCTCACCCTTGGGGGAAGGGATGGACATATATTAAAATATGGATGTAAAGGCCAAGGGGTGCTCTGCTGTTCACAGCAACACCACCTTGGGCTCAAGGGGAGGTGCTGCCTCCCATAAGCCTTGAAAGCTGGCAGGGAGGGTTAATTGCAAGGAGCAACTGTTCACAATCCTGAAACTCTTGCTCAGAGAGAGGAGTGAGGAAGCCCACCGGTGCACCACCCAAAAGGGGAGGCTAAGAACGTGGATGGAGCCTCTCAGAGAAAGGGCGGTAGGCCAGTGGCGACTCCTTGCAACCGTCAGTCGCCCTGATCCTTGCTGCTATGCCGCGAGGGGAAAGGCTGCGCTGGCGTTTCGGGTTCTTTGCTTGCCCTGTTTCTGAGCGGGGGCTCTACCTGCTCGCTCGCCATCTCTCGTCCGGGGTGTAGGAGGAGGGATCACGGCCAGGGAGCAGAAGCCAGGACTTCTTTCTCCTGACAGAGAAGTCGGAAAAGTTGGGCTCGCGGGACCCAGTCCCCCACCACACTGCACCAGGTACTGGCGAGCAGATGAAAGAACGAGGGGGGCAGCACTCGAGCGAACCCCTTTTCGACAGGCTCGAAAGTCCTTTCCTTCTGAGTGCCGTGGCGGCGTGGATTGAGTCCTCTGCGCCTTTCTGGGCATTCCCCAGAGACCCGACGGGATCCAAGACCTCGACGCAACTGCTGCGGTGGCTCGTCGGCGAGAATTGGGCAGCCTGCGGAGCGAAGAGAAATGCCCCCCACTTCCGCGACCCCTAAACTGGAACTGTCTCTAGCACAAAGCACATACACACACAACATCTCCAACGAAGCGACCGGCGGCAAGAGCCGCAAGACCGGAGAGCCAGTGTTGGGGAAAAGGAAGGCGTGCATTTGCTGCGCGCCCGCGGACGGCGAGGCAGGAGATATTCCTCAGTATTAATTCGGGAATATATTCCAAACTCATGTTTTGGAGAAAGGAGCGGTAAAACAGCACAAATCCCTCTGCGATTTAGCTTTGCTCCCGGCGGGCCAAGGAAATGCTTGCTGGCAGCACATTAAGGAACTGGCTCCGCGCGCGCTTTGAGCACCCGCGGTTTTTCCCACGGTAGGGGGAAAGCGCCCAAAGCCACGCGCTTTTCCAGGGTCTCCAGCCGAGGCCGCCCACCCCGGGCTTCCAAGTTAAGGCGCGGAAAGGCGCTGTGGCGGAACTTTGGATTTACGCCAGAGTACGCACAGAAAGTATAAAACTGGGCTGGAACGCAAAGAGCCTCTGCTCCCAGAACTCCGGCTGCCTTGGGCCATGAGGAAGAGCCGCCACCGCTTGGGTCCAGGGAGCCGACACGCGGGGCTTGCTTTGCGGGGTTTTACTGGCTAAGGCGCCAGGCGGGCAGCCGAGGCCTCTCTCCTGGGAAAGGACGGAGATACATCCCATTGGCCGCTCTGCCCATTCCCGGGCGCCCAGTCAGGCAGGGATCCTGAACGCGGCGCTGAGTCCCAGCCCGGGCTGGCAGCATGCAATGTGCCCGGGAGCCGCTAAGCAGCCTCCGAACCGGCAGGTGCCTGCGCAGTCATTCCTATAAACCCCAGGGGAGACCCAAGAGCTGCGTCCCATCCTGGCAGTGCCCAGGACTGCACTGGCCTTAAGCCACCAGGTCGCTCTCTTGGGCGTGGGGCCGGTAGACTAACTTCACGAGGGGAAGCACCAGGAATCCTTCTCGCCCCAACCTAAACATGTGCAGATCTATTAATGCAAAGAAACATCACGCCCACGGGGATCTAGGCCAGAAGATGCGCCCCGCGAATGTGCTTCGTGCAAGCCCGTTAGGATGGGCTCGTGGTTGCGGTGCGTATCTCGCGCGCAGGTAGCCCCAGGGTTAGTGTACCGGGCATCCCAGGGAAAGCCGGGAAAGACCCCTGGTGAGGAGGGTCTCCGAGACCAGCCGCCGCCGCCGCCGCCGCCACTCAATGTAGTCGGCAATGCAGAGCGAAATTGACCGAAGGTCTGACTCTGGGAAAGACTGCTTCTACCGCGCCTAAGCACGGCTTGCAGGGGTGTGTTTGGTTCTTGCTAGCGGGTTTATAAAAAATTGTTTTAATCACTACCAAGTTCTGTAAGCCCTGGCTCAGAAGTCTGCCTTCTGCGTTTGGATTTGCACACACAGCATCCACCATGTTCACGACATAACGTTCGTTACACACCATCTAGGCGAAGTTTAAAAACGCTTATTTAAATTTGTATTTCTAAGTACTGTACAGGGGCGGGGTGAGGTGGGGGTCATTCAACTGCACAGCAATTTCTCGCTGGAAATTGCCGCGTATACTTGAGTATATATGACTTCACGCCAATTACGGAACATGGAGCAGACCAAGAGAGGATGGGACCCCACAGAACAAGAAGAGGGCAGACCGAAATTAAGCTGGGGCGGAGATTAGAAGGCTTTCACCTTTTAGCCTACGCTCAAAATGACTTGTTGCCATGTGGCACTTTTAAAGCTTAAAAAAAAATTTTTTTTTTAAGGTAACCTCAATGGACTCAATAGGGCTTACTTCTGAGTAGACAAGATCAGACTTGCATTGTAAGATGGCAAGGAGAGCCCTACTGGATCGAACCAGACATCCTCTTACAGATCCAAATACTCCAGGGCCCTTAGGCCATGCCAGATGGTGTAAAGGGATGTCATCAGGGGAATCTGGAAGTCACCAGGTTGGGGAAACGCTGTGCTGGAGATTCTACCGTACTATTAATAATTTTGCAAAACTAATCATGTCACACCCCACCAGTTAGCTTTCTCTTGCCCACCCAAGTGAGACCCACATAGCACAGTGGGGCTTATCAGTGCATTCATGTCACTTTTGTTGAAAATGCGCTTCTGGCGCAACAGGACACTGTGACAAGTGTCAGAGCGCACGGAAATGCCATTTACCTTCCCGCCATACCAGTACCTATTTATCTACTTGCACTGGTGTGCTTTTGAACTGCTAGATAACAGGAAATGGGAAAAAGCAACAGGAACTAGTCCTGTTGTGCAGATTTTAACCGCCAACCTCCCAATTGGCAAGCCCATGCTGTTCAGACCACAGCGCCACCCGTTCCCAGTCCCTCATAACAACCCCTAAAATAGAAGATGTCCTCCGCATTGCCTCTCCACATTCTTCCAGGGAGCTTGCTAGATCAGAACAATATCTAAAACCACCACTCAGAGGCAGTACATGAAATTGGTCACTTAGTCCCTGATGGGTTCAACACTCCTGGATGATAGTAGTATTCCTAGCTCTTTTGCAATCTCAGTAGCATCTATGAAAAATTGTTGAAAATCTTCACCACACCTGCAGCCTATAAGGTAATTCTTGGTCACTTGGTCTGCTGAACCAAACTGCTTCCAGATAACACTGAGCACAATCATTGACTACTTAAAGAGTGTAAATAGCAGGGCTATTTGCATGTGCTAAAATGTTATGCTTTATAGCACTGACTAGAAGATATATAATTTCATTTTGGATATCTTTTTCTAGGTAGTGAACCATCGTTTCTTGATCTTTCACTCTGTGCAAATAAATGTTTATTCACGATAGACCAAAAGGGCCAGATATTCTACAAAATTCAAAAAAGTTGAATAGCTAGCACAGCACAACTTTTCAGCTGTACCACAGAATGCAAAGTTTAGCATACCATGAACTCTGAGCAAAGCAATCAAGTGGTCCAAGATTTGTCACCAATATTGTTTTTCTTGCCTAATTTTCTGCTGGTTAGTATCATCAATTATTTTTCCTTTATGTAAGTGCAATTCAAGTTCTCTCCAGATCTGATATTTTCCTCTCATGTGAAGACAGAATTACTTCAACGTTCTTACAGTCTTTTGAACCTGTTCTGTGTAGGATTAATGCACCATATTTTTTTTGCTGAACAATAGACAGCAAAAAACTCATCTTTTGAAGCTGAACATGTCAACCATTGATAGCACACTACTTCACCATTTGCTAGTCTCCTCATAGTGTATAGGGGAAACTTATGGTTTTTGAGTGTTTGTGGAATTCATGTGATACAACCTGCTGTGGTCCATGTTGTATTGTAAGCTGTCACAAAGTTGTGAATTTTTACTTGTTATGTGATATATAGATCTCCAATCAACTCTATGGTTAGTCTATTTTATGGATATTCTAATGTATGAATTACTTCAAAAATTACTTCAAAGATGATAAAAGAGATATAACAAAAACTAATTTGTGAAAAACTGTGCCCATCCAAGTTTGGTCCTGTGCCCTGCTGAGGTCTGTGCTGCAGGCAGCTGCCTAGTAGTCCTGAGCTCATCTCTGATCTCAGGATCCTGTAACAAATACTTCTGTTGTTCTACATGTATTTATAGAGGGGTTTCCCCAAACTTCTGAGTTAATTGACCCCTTGATGAGCTTATAAAGTTGTCACCAAGCCCAGCCCAAGGAGTCCAAATGAAACAAAGTAAAGGAATCTCAGTATATAACCAATATTTATTGATCAGCAGTCACCATTACAAGGAATCATAAAATGTAAAAAAAATAACAAAGTAATACAAGTGAAAGTAACACCACACTTTTAATATCCTATAATGAGACAGGATGGGTTTTAACCTTTATACTGAGAAATCATTTTATTCAATACAGAGGTTCCTCATTGGCATGGGGCTGCCCCTGCACATGCCCATTATGTTTGAGGCTTATAGTTCCTAATTAAATGATTCACAGCATACCTCATAAACTTCTTTTTCACCCCAGTCCCCTTTCAATCCCCTTTCTACACTAAGGTGTTCGTTCACCTCTTGCTCAGCTCCACTGACCCTCAGAGGGTCAATATTGAACAATTTGGGGGAAACTGATTAATAGGTTGTTGCGGGGGTGGGTTTTTTTTTTGTTTTTTTGCCCATAATTTCTCAGATCTTGTAGCCTCAAGAGCGCATCTGATGATAATTTTGAAAAGTTGTAGCCAACAAATCTTTTTAGCACAAGCCCATCTACCTACCCAAAAAACCCCAAACTTACCATATTGGAGAGGGAATGTTCAGAACTCAATCTTTGAAACTTTCACCCGGTATCCCCAACATGCTGATACTGGCGCAACAAACAAACAACCCAAAAGAGCTTCTTTTCCTTCGTTTTGAGAGGTGTTCTCTGTGGAGCTTGTGCCAATGTCCAGCTGCGCTAAAGCAGCAAAGCAATACTGGAGGCAATTTTAAACTCCAGTATTTACGTGCTGCTAGAGCACAGCAGACAGATGTTCCCCTTCTGCAGTCATCTCTGTGAGGCTCAAGGATGGCATGATGCTCCCCATCTGTCTGAGCAGGTAGTTGAGCAAAAGAAATGTTACAGGTGGCCTCTTATTTCCTTTAGCACAGAAATAGCTGCGGGCAGTCTTCAGACTGAATTCCATGGGACAATTAAAGCAGATTTTGAAATGGCTTTCACCAATTCCAAACGCCCCTTTTTATCTGCAAAGGCTCCTCCCATTTCCTGCCCCCCACCAACATTCTAAACTTTGGAAAAAAAGGCTGGCTCTGTGTCTACGTGAGCATCCTCTAGAGGATTAGGGAATAACATGCAACAATTTCCCCAAGATTTATTCAACCTTTGTGAATGCTAGAACGCTTTTGGACAAAAATAAAACCTAACATGCTTTTAGTAAAAATCATTATTTGTGGGGGAAACATGCAACTTAAAAAACAACTATTTCTAAACATACCTGGCTGTGCAATCTACGAGTTCAGTTAGACTGGGAGCATCTTGGCTCCAGCTCTGCTGATAAATGTGTGGCTGGTTTTCTTGTCTTAGCCCTTGAGGTCATGAGGCAGCCCAGAACGGTCTGTATCTCCTTGTCCCTACAAACCATGTCGTGCTGCTACACCTCCTCAAGGAGAATTATTTGGGCAACTGTTCCAGGAGACCCTGGCTGCAAAGTCAAGCTATGGAGCAGGGTTACACAAGTTACTGGTCCTCCTCTCCTCTCCTCTCCTTTCTGCCCCCCCCCATATCTATGGGAAGAGTGTTGGAACTATAAATAGAACTAGTAATTACAGTAGAACAGTTGCAAAAGGAACCAATACACAACACACACACATTCTTACAAATGGTTGCAATACATATTTTAGATAAAAGTGGTGAGTACAGAGGACAACCAAGGAGTGCTCCTAGCCTTTAGACCGGTCTTCACAATTAAACAACAAAGGCTGTTAGAGGAAGTTGCATGTGCTAATTTCTTACTTGGGGAAAACCCCACTCTCCCAGATGTAAGTGTAGTACAAAAAGCAAGAAATACAGACAGTTCATCACACCCATCCGTTTGTTCTCCACTTTTATTTAATTTAAATAAAAATTAATCTGTCAAAACACAAAAACAGGCAATTGGAACTGGGGTGTAATCCAGTGCAATTTAAGCACCATTTAAGTCCTGTTGTTGCCAATGGGAGAGTTATACTTAGGCTTAATGGTCTTCCATGAAATAAATGAAAATGATTTAGCAATGGGACCTAGAAGTGCTTAACTTTGGCTGAGATGCACCCAGCACACCTGGGGCACTGATTAGCAGTAGGACTGTGTACAGCTGCCTTTGTCAACCTGGTGCCCTCCAGATGTTTTGTACTTCAACTCCCTATGCCCCCAGCACTGATGGGAGGGTACCTAGTTGGCAAAGGCTGCCATACAGTTTCCCAAGCCCTGCAAAGTAACCTCCAAAGAATACTCAACATGAGATAGATCTGCCAGATGCAGGGGCATCCACCTGCCAGTTTCTTAAGAATCCAGAGAGCTCGCTCACACACAACGGGGCACAACCTTTTTGCCACGCAAATAATAAACTGACTGTCCATTGTGAATTGGAGAAACATGTTTTGAAAAGGCATGGGAAGCTTCCCCTAGCAGCAACAAACAAACGAAGAGAGTGGAATACAGCTCACCCTGTGAATTCAGCAAGAGGCAAAAGAGAGCACACTTCAGACACGATGCCTGCTGCTGCCCCCCCCCCCCCGGAAATTCTGCATGGTACTCTCGCTGTTGCGATGGAGATGCAGCCACTGAGTAGAACTGCTGCCTGAAAGTTTAGAAAGAGGAAGCAGACTTAATTGTTGCAGGTAGGGCTCCGTTAAAATTAAATAGGGTTAAATGCAGATTGTGTTTACAGATGTGGAACAGGAGCTGGTACCTCACTCAACCCTTTGCCCAAGGAAAGGGCAGAGAAGAGGCTGTTAGTTATACGCTCTGGCTGCTGACCAGCCCCCACCAAGCAAACAAAGGCTGGTGTTTGTGGCATCTTCCAACTTTCCCTCCTCCGCAGACTCCACAGCAGAAAATACACCATAATCATATAGAAAGAGAGAAGTGTGTGCGTGGGCCCACAGAGGCTCCCTTTCCCCTCACTTCAGAAGGCACAAAAGACCTTAGAAGTTATCAGAGAAAACTAATGGCCATGGTCCTTGCAGTGTTTTAATAATTCCCTTTTAACAGACCGATACTTTAGTTTTGCAAAGTTAATGGCTTGCCTATAACTTTATTTGCATTAGTGAAAGGATGAACCACAAGGTTATATAAATCAGCTGGAAGCAACAAAGCCTGCCTTTCCACACGGGATGACACAGCTGCACTTTTGACAAGGGTTTTTGTTACCAAAAATACTTTCACGATCACAGGATATTACAGGGTCAATTCACAACAGCGCTCTCCTAACTCGTGTTGAGAAGCTTGGTCCTGTGAATGGTTCAACTAGTGAGGCTGCAGGACAACCCAGACCTGATACAACTCTGATAACTTCATGCACCAAAACCACATAAATTCGAGCTTCCACTAGACTGGATCTCCAGCACAAAAAAATGGCTGTAAAGATTCATTAGTGGAAGGTAAAAAGAGTTGTATGAACCCATCTACACATGTCCAGCAGTTGAACCCTATATTTTAATGGTTTTGTCAATCTACCCGTTTCTTATATAAGTGAACACACACACACACACACACACACACACACACACACACACATCTATGCCTTTGCATGCCAGTTATATACTAAACTGTAGGGAACTTAAATAATTACATCATACAGAAACCACAATCTACAGAAATACAAGACACATCCTAGCTAGACTATCAACTGGGCACAATCCACCAGGAAAGTCTCCTGTGGACATTGCACAAGAACAGAGTAAGGTTCTTGTGCAATTCTCCTCTAAATGGAGATTGTGCGGGAGAACTTCCCATTGACTTGCCTATCCCCAGCCTGGAGCCTTTTGGACAACAACTTTCATCATTCTCCATTACTGGCCATCTCCATACTGGAGATGATAGGTGCTGTAGACCAAATTGTCTGGCAGACACCAGGTTGAGCAAAGGTGTCCTATATCCAAACATTGCAGCTACATTTAATATTTCCCATTTATGTGTGTACATGGAATGTTCACTTTAGCACCTACCTCAATAATGCACTGCAGCAAGTCGTAATCATATTTTGAGTGGAGTGGGGTAAAATACTATTGATTTGTGAAGAAATACCAAAAACATTATCCTTTTTTTAAAAAAAACCTTTTGAAATAACTTTCCTCCTTCCACTTGCAGCTGGAAAATACACTAGATGTGCCTTGCCTGATTCCTGTCCACCCCAAACTCCTCAGAATGCAACTTTAAGCAATCTCTATACTTTTATTGTTTCAATTTAGGGGAAAGCAGGATAAACATTTTTCAAAAATAAATCAAAATAAATGGCAGCAAAAATTTGTTTCCACTGTAGTATTATAGCTTAAACAACAGAACCAAAACACCAAATTGTCATAAATATTAAAATTGTCAGTTTATTAGCAACAGCACTCCCAATCTGATAGACAACTGACATGTTTTTCAGTTTTTCTCATCCACTCAACACAAAAGCGCACACACACACACACACACACACACACACAGAAACAAAAAATGCAGAAAAAGTTATCTACAAGTCAATACTAGGTTAACATTTGCATATAATTAAGTTTACACTTACACTTTAATGTATGGTCCTGCTACATATACACAGCTTAAAGAGGGGGCGGGGAAGTCTTATGCTACATTATTCCATGTTAAGAAGCTTTTTTCAAAGAAAAAATAATAACGCAGAGAAAATAAGGGCTGAGCTCACTGGAAGTTAGAATGCTAAAGTTTTCTCTCAAAACTGCTGACGATGAACTGTATCTTACTAGGGGGAGGTGTTTCAGTTTGGGTAGTGTCGCCTCCTTCAGATTTAAAAGCTACACGGCAGACCTGAAAATGGAATTTCTAAAAAACATGAATTCATTATGTACAAGAGGCGGGGGTTGAAATCTGTCCTGCATCAGCGTTCATTCAAAGTCAGCTGCATGCACAAGACCAGAACAGTTTTCATTAAGTTCTGCAACCAGCTTTCCGAAGGCTGTAAGAAACCCTATAACTAAAAAACAGTCTCTTTTAAAAATTGTGTACTGTATACACTTAAAATGTCAAGGGCTTTCTCCAGATTTCTCATGCCCCCCCCTCCAGACACCACTGCACAACTAAAGCAGGCAAATGCTAACTTGCACACAACTGAGCCTTCTTGCTGTAACCCCCCGCCCGTCCCAACAGTCATAAAAGGGAATCCCCCCCCCCACTTAACAGCATTTGCAGAGTTTGAAACAAGAGTGGGGGAGGAACTGTCTTCCTAGGCAACCCCCCAAGATAGTTTTAACTGCTGTTTACACATGGTAAATAGAGTGCATTATAAGACAGTATTCTCTGCTATAAAAAAGAAAAAGTACTATAGTCATGTACGGTATTCAAGACAATGCAAAAGATTGTATGTCAGTCACTCAAATTTCCTGTGCAAAACACAGCAGAAAATATATAGAAAAACATACATTGTTATTCCCGCCTCCCACCCGCAAAAGTATGAAAGTTTTTGGGTTTTGCTGAGCTTTTATACAGTTCATTCACACACATTATTATTTCAGCGTTTGTTGTTGAAGGGATGAATATTTGAGCAAAGTGCATCAAAGGAGTTCATTTAAAATGTAAGATTAAAGCCATGACAATTTTAAGCAGCATTACAAAATATTAAATTCTATATGAATTTTTAAAAACCCATGACATATAGTGTTTTACAAGTAACCATCAGTACAAATAGTTTTAAATCATATTAAGTAGAGTAATTTTTTAAAGCCATAATATAGAAATTGGCTAGTAGTTTTAGTAATTAAAATTAAATTTTCTAAACATATTAAATGTTGACTCTCCAAAGCAGAATAG